TGGGATGGAGGGGTGGTCCACAGGGTTAGTGTGCACGGCGGTCTGGGATCGGGCCTGAATGTCAGACGGGTCGTGTGTCCGTCTGAAGCAAGTTGCTGCCTCCTGCTGCTCAAAGCTCAAACTGCCGCTACATGCTTCTGTTGGAGCCGATAATCAATAATCATCTGATCGGTGGTTAACAGAAACCAGACTCGGTAGAAGGGAAACTGAACAGGAAACGTTCATATTAGCAGATCTGAGCATTGATCGATTGCCAGTGTTCTGATAATCGATTGGTTTGAACAACAGCCATTGATTGATTGCAGCTTCTTCTGGTCTGAGCAGCTCCCTGTGCCACTGGGTTCTGGATCTCCTGTCCCCTAGAACCCAGGTGGTTCTGGCTGTGCAGACACATCCCCCAGAGGTCCCTGTACAAACCCCACCAACAGCACTGTGAAGGTGGATCAACAGAACCGGCGAGGAGACTGAGAACCTCACAGCGCTGCTGGACCAGAACCAAGCAACAGATGGTGGATTCTGAAGAATCCCACTCAGCAGCTTTCAGAACCTTGGAGGGAACATCTCTCAGGTTCTGTCAGAGGCCAAACAACACCTGAACACCAGGTAAAGAACGCAGCAGAACCTTCATCACCCCAGAAAGTCCTGCACTCAGTGGAGCTCAAAGCGCTCTGACGCTGCCTGCCGCCAACCTGCTGCCCACATGGCTGAGGTCAGAACCACAGGAGGAACCGGATCATGAAGAACCAACACAATGAGGAACATAATGGACAACAGAGAAGAACTTCTTCACTGCTGCAGAACCCTGAACCCATGTAGGTGTAAACACACAGACACTTTGGATTCTGTCCGTCATTATCCAGGGAGCCAGGCTTGGTAAGAACGTTAGTGAGAAAGTGGATAAAAACAGAACCAGAACCTGGAAATTCTACAACTCAGATTTAGATTATATTGTTCTAATAGGTTAATAATGTTCTAGGAGGTTAGTAATGTTCTGGGAGGTTCTAGTAGGTGAACAATGTTCTAGTAGGTTCTAGTAGGTGAACAATGTTCTAGTAGGTTAGTAATGTTCTAGTAGGTTCTAGTAGGTTAACAATGTTCTAGTACAGCGGTTCTCAACTGGTCTCACCCTGGGACCCACATGTTCCCGTGGTCATTAAGTCGCGACCCACTTTTATTTATAATTCAAT